GCCTAAACAATAATAATGTGTCACATTACTTACCCTTATTCTTAAATGCTTTATCATATTTAGGATTAATAGAAATTGCTTTGTCGTAACATTTAATTGCTTCCTAATACTTATTTAAATTATGTAAAGCCGCACCTATGATGAAATGAAATTGATAATACCTTCCTTTAATAATTTTTCAGCCTCTTAAAAATTGGCTTAGTTGTTTTTATCTTCAGCATACTAATTAATTTGTCCCACCTTAGCATCCTATTGACAACTAGAATCTCTTTATTCTTCCACATTAGTTTGGTCTGGTAACATCTTTTTTAATGTATCAAGAATATTATTCAATTCTATTATTTGTTATTCTATTATTAATATATATGAAAAAGATACATTTGCATATTTCTTTTTCCTTCGAGTAAAACTATTTTATTATATGTATTTATGACTTCAAAGCCAAATACTCTTTGTTTTAAAGTTGGTGAGTCATATTTTCTAATATTTTAATTTCTTGATCCATTTTTTTAAAAACCTATTCAAAATAGTTCTATAATTGTATATAGACATCTTTGAATTATTTCCTAAATTGATTGGTCATTTGTGTCAATTCTGTCATAAATTAAATTATTTTTGTGAATCGAATACAATCATTGAAATGTTGTGAATGTATAGTATTTAAACATTCATAACAATATTAAGTTGTACTTTAACAATCCCGATTCAAACAAAATCCAATAATTTCTTCATTTTCATGGGCAATATATTTACACTTAAACATATCCATTTAAGTATAAAAATTAAAATAAATAATTATTCAATATACTTAATTTTCGTAAATTTATAATACAAATCACATTAAATACTATTTCAATAGCCAGATTTCATTAAACTCATTATTCAAATATTATTAAATTAAATTATCCATTCAATTTTAAATATTATAAATCACAATTAATTCAAATATACTTAAAATTCAATTCAAGCGATTAAATTATGATTTTATTTGCAACAAAGGCATTTAAAACATAAAAAAATCAATAACACTTTATCAACTTAATCACATAAGTTGAATTACCACTAAATACTCACATCTCTATTATGATATATAGAATTTCATTCTAATCGATTAATCAAAAAGTATTTTATACATAATCAAATTTATTATAATACCTCTTAATACCATTATAGGAAGAATTGGATATAGTATTAGTGCAGCATACCTAAGTTGCTACTAGATTTGAGTGTCAAACTTTCAAATTGATGCGTAAGTGATTTTCAGCCACTCATATTATAGAAATTTATCTCTTTCAAGGCACTTGGTAATGATAATCAGAATTTTTCTCAACGCATATAATTGCATATTTTTACAGATTTAATCTATTTTAATTTTCAATATTCTTCTATAAATTAATCATTAATTATTATTTTTCTCATGCTGTGTTTGCCATAGGATGAATGAGACGCACATATACTATTAATTAAGGTTAACGTCTTTACATGTTATGACTTCCTTGTAATTTGATAGATTAAAAAGCAACAGTAAATCATAATAATTAAATAATTAATGTATTGGTTTATCGCAATTTTTACTCCTAAAATTCTAACAGTTTTAATTCCAGTCATTCAAGGTGCTTGAATATTTGGTAATTTTTTATGAAGCAAACCAGATACCTAAGCTATATTTTGACTAGAGTAGTACTACCAATTTCTAATTTTGCAGCAATAATAAGATCGAGTCAGACTGAGAAATTCAAATTAAGCATCAAGTTGAGAACTAATTCTTATGGACATCTTGATTCATGATATCATAGTAACCTAAAATTATCTTAAGCGTTTACATGGAAAGGCTCAGATTTAGTTGAATCATATCTCTCAACTTAGAATCAAAACAACAGATCCTATTCAAACTTATTCAAACTTGGATTGTGTAATGTTTTGCAAGATCAATAAACAGTTTTCGATAAGAACCAATAATGAGTAAAATATCTTTAATTATGAATAATTTTTTAAATTAATTTACTGATATAGTTGCTTTAGGATTACTAAAATACGAGTTTGATAAGCATATTTATCTCAATAACATTAAGCATCCATTAAAATTTTTTGATTTTATAAGATTAAAAAATAAATTAAAGTAATTGATAAGAGAAGGCAACAAGAATAACGAATAACTTCTAATGCAAGCTTAAGAGGAAAAAGTAATCTAACTTACATTTAAAGGAAATTAATTTAGTTTAGGAAGTAAAATGTATTTAAAAAGGAAAATTAAAAAAGGAAGAGAAGCATATGTTTTAAGTAGATTTGTAATAATATGATTCTGCATTTTAATAAACCCAGAAGAATCTAAATATATGCTTATTAACAAGTATAATAAATATGAAAAAGTTCTAAAATTTAATGAAGAGATTAGAAGAAAAATTTGATCAGTTTATTTAACATTTTAGCGAAACTTAGATTATTCAGATTATCTATACATATTTAATAGAAGTCTTATGAATTTTCAAGATTTTTTAATAATTTCTGTATTGTTTAAATGGTAAAGTGAAGTAATAATAGGATAACTTTTATAATTAATCTTAAAATTAATTTATGAATTCCGATAGTATAATTTGGATCATGAATTCAAATGGTATGAGATAGATGCATTATTCTAAGAAAAAATTTATTTATTCAGCGGTTAAATTAAGGAATAATTATTTAGGCTTCTTGTATTTAGTTTAACTTCTTAAAAAATAAATAGAAATTTTAACATGTCATATTCAATTTATTCATTCTTTCTATTTTAAGTATGTTCATTGAGGATAAAGAGTATGTATTCTAATTTCGATAAATACATGGCAATATGATCTCTCTTCTTTACAAGACTCAGAAAGCATATTTATTCAACATTCTTAGCGTGATATTAATTTTGTCATTTCAAAGTTATTTCTTCAGATTAATTCATTTCCAATTCAATTTAAATACTTTTATAATTACAATTGGCTTTTATTATTCAATTTATATTATATATCATAATAGAGATGTGAGTATTTAGTGGTAATTCAACTTATGTGATTAAGTTGATAAAGTGTTATTGATTTTTTTATGTTTTAAATGCCTTTGTTGCAAATAAAATCATAATTTAATCGCTTGAATTGAATTTTAAGTATATTTGAATTAATTGTGATTTATAATATTTAAAATTGAATGGATAATTTAATTTAATAATATTTGAATAATGAGTTTAATGAAATCTGGCTATTGAAATAGTATTTAATGTGATTTGTATTATAAATTTACGAAAATTAAGTATATTGAATAATTATTTATTTTAATTTTTATACTTAAATGGATATGTTTAAGTGTAAATATATTGCCCATGAAAATGAAGAAATTATTGGATTTTGTTTGAATCGGGATTGTTAAAGTACAACTTAATATTGTTATGAATGTTTAAATACTATACATTCACAACATTTCAATGATTGTATTCGATTCACAAAAATAATTTAATTTATGACAGAATTGACACAAATGACCAATCAATTTAGGAAATAATTCAAAGATGTCTATATACAATTATAGAACTATTTTGAATAGGTTTTTAAAAAAATGGATCAAGAAATTAAAATATTAGAAAATATGACTCACCAACTTTAAAACAAAGAGTATTTGGCTTTGAAGTCATAAATACATATAATAAAATAGTTTTACTCGAAGGAAAAAGAAATATGCAAATGTATCTTTTTCATATATATTAATAATAGAATAACAAATAATAGAATTGAATAATATTCTTGATACATTAAAAAAGATGTTACCAGACCAAACTAATGTGGAAGAATAAAGAGATTCTAGTTGTCAATAGGATACTAAAGTGGAATAAATTAATTAGTATGCTGAAGATAAAAACAACAAAGTCAATTTTTAAGAGGCTGAAAAATTATTAAATGAAGGTATTATCAATTTAATTTCTTCATAGGTGTGGCTTTAAGAAAATTAAATAAGTATTAGGAAGCAATTGAATGTTACGACAAAACAATTTCTATTAATCCTAAATATTATAAAGCATGGAATAATAAGGGTAAGTAATGTGACATATTATTATTGTTTAGGCATGGCATTAGATAGTCTTAATAAGTATTAAGAAGCAATTGAATGTTACGACAAAGCAATTTCTATTAATCCTAAATT